ACATGTTAATTAAATTAATTAAATAGATCAAATAAATAATTTTAAACTTCTATATTTATTGTTGGACTTAATACTTATCAATATATTATTTCTATACTCATTACTTATTTATTTTTTTACAATTTATATATAATATTTATAAATAACATATGTACATATACCCGTCGCTCATCCTTAACAACGAGTTACACAATGCCGGCCGAGCGCCTGAGCTCCTTTCCTTTGTTAGTCCTGGAAGGTGGGCCAATTCTTGATTTTAATTTTTTTTCTTGGAAAAAATTAGATCTAGTCCGTAATCTTTACTATAAATATTAGTTATTTTTTCAACCTTTAATTCAAACCAAAAATAGGTCCAAACCTTTTTAAAATCAGCAAGCTCAATTTTACTGTTAGTCATTTCTATTAAATTACTAATAAAAATCCTAGTTAGAATTTTGAGAAGCCACCAAAATAGTTTTTAATTTTTTCTTAAAAAACATCTAAACCATTCATTTTTTCTAACATCAAACATATATTTCATCTTTTTTTTAATATTGTTGAATCTAGTATTTTTTTTTTCTTTTGGGAAACTCCAAATATTATGTTTCATATTTTTTCCTTCTACTTAATGCAAAACCCTGATTCAATTTTGCAGACTTTTAACATAACTTAATAGTCTAATAATATAAGAAAGTTTATAACCCAAATATTTTTCAGTTGCATATTGTTTATCATTTAAATTATTTTTTTATAAAATTTATCAAAAAAATATAAAATGAAAATTCATCTCAAATTATATGATTGTAACTTGTAATATATACATAAATCCTTGTCTATAAAAAAAAAAAAAAAGAATTTCCCAAACATTTTTCAAAAAGAACAATTAAGGTGTTTAAAAAATCCAAAATTTAGCAAAAATAATTTTAGTGCAAGAAAATTAAAAGAAAATTTATATCAAAATTTTATATTGGACCTCCCAAAATTCCAGTTAAAATTTCTGTTAGGAACCTAATAGAAGTAGTTAATTATAGGATTAGGTTTGAAAATTTTAAAAAGATTGAGAATCATTTTTGGTCCAAATGAAAGGGTGGAATAATATCTAATATTTATGGTAAAAGTTGAGAACTAAATCCAATGTTTACCCGTTTTTCTTTTTATACAGGCTTCTTGTTTAACTTAAAAGTCAATTTGTTTGTCAAATTATGAATTATGAATGTTGAGTAACTATTGGTGTTTATGCAAAACTAGAAACCCTATATGAATAATTCGCGACTTAGGTAACTTAGAAATAATTTATTTCTCATAGAAGTAAAAGATCTTGAATTTGGATTGCATGATATGTGGATGGGATGGATTAAGGTATAGGAGATGGTTGTTTTCTATTGTGCAACCCAAAATTAAAAAAAAAAAAAAAAAAAAAAAACCTTTTGAATAAGAAAAAACTCAAGGATGGTACTATTGCTACACCATCAATTGCTAATGTCATATTTTTTGAATAGAAAATAGAAATTGTATTAAATATAAAAGATAAATTACTTATAAGACCCTAATTTATACACTTAAAGCCAAGGGAAGTTCTCACCCACAATGCTAGATACAGCACAAAACTATGCCTATGACTAATGTGAACAAATAAATTTAGAGAGTTACCTATATTTAGAGATTACCATGCAATCATCATAGGGGTATAAACAAAGCTGCAAAAGTAGGAAGAACGTTACCATAAGCAACCAAAATGATTGGACATTCCCAATTACCATGCCAAATTGCAAGGAAGAGTATGTAATCTAACAAACAACAATCCCCACTTGCTAAATGTTGAATAAGAATCTGCACTAGCTTGGAGGAGAGTTGCAGTTTCTTTTAGGGACCACTCAAACCATGCTCAAATTAACCCAAGGAGAGTCACCATCACATTGTTATCTTCTTCAACTTAGGGCAAAACTCAGCAAAAACCACCAAGAGGCCCAAGCAAAATCTCAACAAGGGGAGAAACTCCCACAAAAAAGAGAAAACCATCAAAGAGGAAAAGATTCCCACTTTTATTCATAATCCCTAGCCACCAAAAGGGAAAGGCAGCAATTAGAGAGAAAAGAAAGCGAAAGGGTGGTGGTTATAGGGAAAAAAAAGGAAGAAGTGAGAGAAGCACTAGGGTTTTACTTCGAGGGACCTTTTCATTTATTATCTTAGGATGCGTTTGGAATTGTAATTGGAGGATTTTTCTTATAATTATACAGTACTTTTAGATATATATGTGTTTAATAATTTTTTTTGAATTAATTTTGCAAAAACTATAAAAAGTCACGGTAAATCTATAGCAATTTTATATATAAAGCTAAAATCCTTATTTTAAAGATTTCTGGATGTGCTTTCATGGATAACACTTAATATTTAATATTTAATGCAATTACAAAATTGTCTATTAAAACCCAACCTTATTTAATTCAATTACATTATGATTTATAATAATTTATTTAAAGCTAACCTCTCGTTTATTTGAAAATTCCATACAAATTAAAAACTCATTATTGTTGCGTCTCTATGAAATTCAAAAGAACACCCACTATATAAAACTTAAAAAACTTAAATTATTATGGAAATTTTGATTATATATCATCCATAATACTTTTAAAAAAATAAATAACCAAATACAAAAATAATTTTTAACCAAGGTTACAATACAATACAATTCAATACAACTGCAACTATAGCACCTCGTGACAATCCCAAATGAACCTTTAATTGACCATTATAGAATATTTGTTAAAACAATCTTGCAATTGGCAAAGAGAAATTGCACATTGAAAATTCTACATATATATGTGTGTGTGTGTCAAAATTTATCACTGTGACACAAAAGTAAAATTGTGGAATTTAAACGTTTGTTGTTTTTGTTTTTATTTGGTAAGGACTGGCCCTCTAAGCTTAAAATTCCATTGTATTTTACATTAAAAAATCCATTGTATTCGATTTCCTTTCATTTCTGAAAAAAAAAAAAAAAAAAAGATCACATTGATTTCGTGAGAGCTCTCGATCTTACCAAAGTCTATTTACTTTTTTTTTTTTAAATGAAAGGATGATAAATTCATTAATCAATAATTAAAAAACCTAAACATTACAAATCAACTCATACGATGTAGCACCCTTGAGGCTTTAAATCTAATTTTAAAAGTGATTAAGCATAAAATAATAATGAAATTTAGTGGAAACCCCAAGGGTTAGATCCAATGGTTGTATCCAATACTAATTAAGTGTTGTCTTGTGCGCCCAAGTATAAGATTTAAGTTTTGGAGCAATATCTAAAAAAATATTAATTTTTTTAATATATCAAGCCAATGTGAAGGGTTTACCTTTAAAATTATTCATCAAGAAATTAATCTTGAAATGTATAAAAACTTGAGTAGTAGAACACTATAGTGAGCCTATCTATTCAAACCTAAAAAAAATAAGTAATTGAATGGTTACATGGATATTAGAATTGAATTTGATTCTAAATCTTACAGAAAAGTTTAAGTTAATAAAATTCACATCAGCCAAAAGAGAGACGACCTTTCCATGACAACACGGTTCCCATCAACTAAACCTTCTCCTCTCAACCTTCACCATTGGAAGAGACACAAAACACAGATGAAACCCACACGAAGCACGACCCTCCGGACGAACACCCACAGAATCCCAAAGTCTATAGCAGATATGAGTTCTATAGTCTTATTGTCCACTTTAGAGAAAATGAGTGTATGGGTGGGTAAT